AAGTATGAAGCTGATAAACATTCAGCAAGGATGATTCCAACATGGGGCGTACGTTTAGACCTACCGTTTGATGATATTTACTAACAACGGATTTAGTCCCTTTAATGTTTCCGAATAACATTTATCTTTTATCGATTGTATATGTTATTTAGGTTTATGTCAAACACTCGGCGAGAGTTAATCGGGTTGACCCGAAGGGACCTCACCTGGTAACACAGATATTCCAACGAATTTTTTTCCAATTTGGATTGCATGTAATGTGTCTTACAAATAAATGCCTTGCCTTTTCTCCAGCGCTGCCGAACAAATCGCTATGTAGATCTGTTCTGCATTTGATGTAGGGCTCTAATAGATAGGCAGTGATGGCTGGAAGTTAACATATTTTTCTGTTGCGAATCGATTCTCTACTCATATCACCACCTACCTGCACATCAGCCAATCCAGAATTCAACTCAGACGGTTTAATACTTTGATAGTACGTAAGCAATACAATCGACGGCCTTCAATTTTCCAATACATATCCACCTATATAGATGAAACAATCTACCAAAATAAAATGTCATTGTTTCTGCAGGTCGTACTTGCAATCGATACTGGTAGAATTGATTTAATGACTCCCATGTTTTGTCATTCGGTTACTGCTTAAACTATGATCATCCCTTCCTTGATTTTTTTGAATGACGTCATTGTCTAAATTTAATTCCAAATTAGTGTTCCATCAGTCATCACCTCCAGGGCACATCAATGCAAAATGTAAGGAAATGTATGAACTGTGACAGTCATTCTGTTTTTTGCGAAAATTCATTTACAGTTGAAAAGACGACGACCTCACTACTACCTTTTGTATTTTCATCTGGTACCGTTGCATCCGCAGTATATGCGACAACTTTGTCTGCAATAGGTACATCCTATACCCGACCAAGTCCAGGATTTCCACGTACGTGAACATACAAATGTTTGACAACATCTTGGCCAGGAACTTTGTTTGCCGAAAATCTTTGTCTAGCATTTTCCAAAAAAACGGACATGCGGTTGTACGACATGTCTTATTTGATTCGACTGAGCAACCAACTGACGATCCAAAACTTCATTGAAATTGATATGCGGCTGGACGTACACGTTAGGATCACTAAAGCAAACCTGAACAAAAACATGCTTTCAATCATCGCTGACGGTTAATGGATCGAATCGGCGATAAGTTTCTCCTTCGATTCTAAACGAGAACGATCCTTAATTTGATCCACTGAACATCTCATCCTTGTAATCCTCTCCGAAAGAGGTAACTGCAAACGCATTGTTCTACATTCTCGTATTTTTTTTTGAAGTCCGTACTGGTAGGTAGCTCACCTGTCAAACGATTTTGCATGAGAATGGTTGGCATAGCTTTGATTTCAATTTTGACTTTTCTATTACGGCAGTGAAATAAAAAATTTTGATAAGTTACTTGTTCTTTTTAAAACGGAAGCAGCATGGCATGGTAATAAGGTCATCTTTCCTTCATCTCTTGTTAATTATGACGTCCAAAAAAATCAGTAGTTGAATCTTCACGGTATATACTTCTTCGTTCACGAAGAATATTTTTCTTTTCAAAGTTAACAAGGCATACACGGTTCAAGTGGTGATCTCTGGCAAAATTTAGAATAAGTTTTTAAAAAAAAAGTTTGGGTTCCATTTCAATTTACCTGTTGGGGAACGTGAATTACTTCCAGAATCGGTGATGCTGGTCGCGTCATTCAGGATCTCATTTTTAATATGGGAGTCTCTACTGCTATCACTAGATCTCGGGGTTCTTGGAATGTTAATTCGACTTGATTTTTTCTACCTCCGGGCTTAACCGATTCCGCTGCGTTAAATCTTGCTCTGCTCCTGCGTCCAGGACTGCCTCCATTGAAATGAATAAATTCGTGATCACCAATGTTCGACATTTGTTATTGTTAGTGAAAAAAGGTGCCGAAGAATATCAAAGCTTTTTTATTTTGATTTTATAGTTGTGACACTCAATTTTTGGAAACAGCTATTTTATATTTTTTTCACTCAATGTTTTAGGAACTGTGTTGGTCGGGACTTACAGCCCCTACCAATTAACTCAATGCTAATACACATTTTTCCACTCTGTGTTTTGTGTACTACGTAGATCGGGAATGACAGCCCATCGCAATTCCTTAAGTATTTGTCATGCACATACATGTCTGTTGCTCGACCAGCGCTTCGCTTGGCCGTGCTTAATAAAAAATTATTAAATAAAAAAGTCCTTATTGCTAAATATGGTATATACTGCAAAGTCAAAACAATCATTAAAGCATTGCTTATGAACAAGTAATCATATAAAAAAATTTGATGCTTTGCCACTATCAATAAGTGTACCTGGGAAGTTTTTCCCATTGTTATTCTTGTAAGTTTATTTAAATAAGCTGCCACAGAAGGAAACAGGAACAAGAGGCAAAAACTACTTGGCGACACGAAGAAGGCAATGGGTTCGTTTAAAAAAAAGTTTTTTTATTAAGAAGGGGTTGGGGTTAGTACTAAAATCCAAAATATCGCTTTTCGAATAAATAACTAGTATTAATTTATGCTATTTACTATACATGGAGAAAACTACATTGAGTTTTAAATGAAGGATCAAAAGGATGTTTCACGGAACAGTTACCATGAGCAGGTTATTGAAAAGGATCAGTAGTTGAGATTTGACGAGTACTAGCAGATTGGATTAAGTGGATATTAATTAATGTAATGGTTCAGGCAATTTTTAAGGTTGGAGACGGGTGTTAAAAATGGATTACGAATAAACGTAATAGAGGATCGGGAGAGGATTTACTACGCTTTAGTCCTACAGGAAGCGGGAGTAATACTGAGAAACAAATTTATGACATGTTTTACAAGTAATTCCGTGGCCAGCAAGATATGCTTGTATGACTTTGGCACATGGTTGTACAGGGCGTTAGATAGCGGGCGCAATATACATATAAAAACTTTACCGAAAAGGTTTCAAAAGGGATTCAAGATTATAATTAAGTTATGTATATAATAATAATACTGACAAAGGCAATGACAAATTTTAAACATGCAGTAACACCAACTCGCAAGACAGTTTACCAAGCGGATTGCCAATGTCATTAACGGACGTAGTCCCTAACGAAATTGTTTTCTAACTATAAAAAACAGTTGATACCAATCGTTTGTTGGTGTAGACAATGCATACCTCACTGTTATTAATTTTTTAAATCTACACTGCGTCACCTCGAGAATCATTTCTTAAATAAAATATGCGGCGTTTTAAAATTCTAAAACTATGACATTTGTACAGGAACTTCCTGATATTTTGAAAATAATACGAACTTCCCGGAAAAATAGGCTCGTTTCGATACATACAATTTAACATAATAGATTACGGGTGATTGGGCAACTTCTTTATCCGGTAGTCACAAGGTAAAATCTTTACGTCATAAATTCGAATGTATTTTTTTTATTTTATAGTAAAGACACTGTGATTTTTTTCTATCTTTTTAACAAAGTTTATTCTAAAAAATGACTAAACAACTAGCTCTTTGCCGGTACGTATTTCATTATTTTGTCATTTCAATAAAACACACATGCCTAATGTCACCAATGTACTGATTACGGGAGTAATTAAATTCCAAAACGTTTTCCTTTTTTACAATTAGTCCGTTTATTCCTCCCTCCGTTCTCGTAACGAGTAAAAGACTTCTCTCCTCGACCACTTTTTGGTCTGGAGAACCGGAGAAGAGTCCGAAAAGAAGAAAACTCTTTGTCGTCCCTGTCGTTCCTCGCTTCCGTTTGTTTGTCTCGCCTTCGCGGCGTATTCGGGTATCCCCTCGTCGTCCTTTTCGTGGTGTGTTTCCTCCACCTGCTGTTTCTGCGTGTGGGTTTGCCGCGCCTCCGACACTTTTCCCTCTTCCTTCTTTTCTTCCGTTGAGGTTGGTGGAGAAAAGAAAGCGTTTTTCGGTTTTCTTCCCTTCTTTTGAGCCGGAAAACCAAAGAAAAAGAAAAAAGTTGTGACTTTCTTGGCCCTTACAGCGCCTAATAAAACTGCTAGTTTTGTTCCAATTTCATCATTTGTTCAAGTACAGTTAAAAATCCAGTAATTATTTCCTAAAGAATATTTTTTGTGAAGTTTGTTTTGATTTTCTTTTTATTTTAATGGGTTAAGTCAAATTCAAAATCCATGATTCGGTTTTCTCCAACGTCATGTACTGTAAAGTTTGTAATTCAAATTATATTCGTTGGAATTTTATAGTCTCATCGGATTTTTCGATAGAAAACATTTCTGGTTGTTGGATTAAGTAACAATGAACTATAAATATGTATACATATAATCGATAGGAAATTTGGTCTGATTTCCGCACTTACGAGGGGTAATTGTTAATTGTAGTAAATCGTCTCCTATAGCCCCTGATATTCTTGATTGGGTCATAGGAACATAAAATCCCAAAGTTCCGTAATTAAAACAAGGAAAGTTGACGGATAAAATAAGAAATTGAATCTTATACAAAAACACCGAACGTTTGTGAAATTAACTGGCGATTTAAATAGTCTAATCAGAAACGAATAACCGCTAAATTTAATCCATCCGGTAAATGAGAAGGTTTTAGATGACCTCCCTTATATAATTGGCTATTTTCAATTTGTGTAGGCGAGCATAAAAGAGGAAGACTTTGGAGATGTGCCAGCTTTAGGATAAAATAACTTCTAAAAACTGTAAGTTCTTTTTTATGGAAAGTGACAAAATCACAATACATTTACTTTATTTTATTTGTTCCTATTACAAAGCTATACGTTCTCCAAACGGTCAATATACAAAGGCAGCCAACGATAGACAATGCCAATCAAAAAAATCTTTTGAGATTCAGGTGTATCAATCGCAACAGTACCTGATTTAGGACTTTCAACTGCTCTAAAGTGTTTTCCACACGTCTTGATTTACCATCTTCCATGCTTAATATATATCACGTAATCTGATGCTGTTCAAAAAATGATTTAGCTTATGCCATGCATAGAATGACTAGGACAGCTATCACTCTTCACCCTTTCATATATTCATCCGTTGCAATGACGACCATATCCTGGGAATGGGAACTCTAGAAAACAATCCTGTGGACGCATTTTGGGGCTTACAAAGATTGATTTTAACATATTCAAAATGTTTATTCAGTTTTGGACCCTTACCAGTGACTAACACAGAATCTTGTCCTTTCATGCAAAAACACCAGAAACTATTATTGAACCATTGCCATTTTGAAATGCTGCCAGACAATCAATTTTGGCTATTCTTTCCCATTTCTCTCCAAATCCCCCATTGCTTAGATCCTGATGATGTTAAACGAAATGCTGCTAACCAGATCAAAATTTGTTGCACAAGTAATCGTCGTAAATGTTAATAGTGTCAGCCGAATGTCCTTTGCGTCAGTTAATTGCCAGTATATATAAGGGCGGTGTGAGCGTTATTCTCAATTTTAAAAAGCTACTCGCGATTGATTTTTCGGATTGACCATCCTGAAGCCCATGATCACCCGATTCGACTGTGTGAGAATGAATGGTGAACGAATAACTGTGTGTCTGCAGAAAAGAGTTCTTTGGATGGAATATTCCCTTTTTACCGTCTTGCTTTCGACTTTATTAGTGAATTAGGGAAGCTGTTCGACAATATTGACCTGAGAAGTTTTCGTACGAAGAAAAGTATTGTAAATGGCGATAATATCACTAGTCATTCCTAAGGTTGTGGAATCATGAAGCCGAGTCATGTCTAAGATTAGTCGTCCAGTAAGTTTCTGAACCCGATTTGTTTCCGATTGTAGTGTTGATAAAGTTCGAAAGCGATATTCCATCCTTTTTTGCAGGCGCGGTAGATGGAATTCTAAAGACTGAGGATTTTTTTTGAAAACTTAAAGGGAACCTGTTTTTTAAGCGCGGAGATCCAAAGAAACCAATAAATGTGAGCGCTTACCTGCAACGTACGCTATTAATTAGAAGTCAAATATAATATTTTTTCGTCTTCATCATTTGTATTCTCCTCTGAAACATTAGCAAAACTTCTATTAATTTTTTTAATACTATAAGTGTTATTATGGGTTTGATCATGGCAGTTGAAATAAAAAATGTGCGATCCACAATTTGATGGTAACCACATATATCTCTATCAGACAAACAGTTTAAATGTTGTTTGATATGGTTCCAATTTTATTTCGAAAAAATGGCGTTTAAAGATATCAAAATGAAACAGACTCCTTAAGATCCGCAATAGCATAATCTGGTATATCATCTACGTTAGAGAAGACGTTTTTAACGTGAAGTATTTCGATTCAATTTTTCAACCATTGGCAACAAGCCAGGTTTGAGTTAAAATTTTAATTTTGACCATATCTTTGCTTTTGCCTTTCTTTCTCGCTATCTAATACGTCAGGACTAGTATAGACGCAATATTCCACAGGTTTACTAGCTATCAAAATTGTATCAAAATTTTTTCTAAAGATGATTACGTAATGAGCGTTAAAGCTTGAACAGTTTTGAGCGTTCAGTGTCCCATTCAACAGTGATAGAATCTATGGAGAAACGGGATCAAACAGTAACTTCTCTGCTGCCTCGTAGATAATACTTGTATTTGAATCCTTATAACAAACCGTTGTACTCCTTTCATATATTGGAATTAAATTCAACTTGAAGACCCAAAGATCAAACTTTCTGGCCTTATATATGTAGTACAAACAACATGATTCCCAAGCAAAGTAAAGAGATCACTTTCCTCTAGACCGTAAGTTGTTTGATACAAGGGTTTTTATTGAATTGTACACGCAAATCGTATAATCGACAAAAAGTCAAATACTTAAAATCCGTGCCACAGCGGCATCATTCACCAAACTACGGAATGAAACAACACGAAAGTTATTCGCATTATTTTTGTTCCGATTCCTGAAAAGTCTCAAAAGTCCACATCTAGTTGAAACTCATAGCGGTAATAAATTGACTTCTTAGAAAAAAATGGCCGTAAATAACCACAGTTACTTAAGGATCAAGTCCCCAGAATGGGACCTGATAACTTGATTTCATTATTGGCATATTATGCTATCCTAATGTCATCTCTTGTTACTTTCTTTGAATTAGAAATTGGTGAAAATAGTAATGTTGACATGCCTTAAGAATTTGGCAATGCCGAGAACAGAAAAATAACAAAATATGTGTTTTATTATATGTGACAAAAGAAGAAAGAACTATCCTAATTTTTGACTTCGGTCAGCAATGCTCTGGGTTTCTGATATATTGTTAATATTTTTAGACAGCCAGTGTAATGGATATCATTTTCGCGATCTCCTTCTTTCTACAATGTGTACTGCTGTTGTGGGAGTTACATTGTTTTGCCTTCCATACGGTTCAATTTTTGTTATTATTAATCAACGTCCGTTAAAAAACCTTGATTCTGCTACTTGTTTTCTCCATCCGGTACCCAATCTTCTTTCTTAATCCTTAACCGCATAAGGGCCATATAGACCCTCTGTTCATTCATGCCAAAAATCAATGACAAAAGCAATTCCTCGACTCATACCACAACAGGGCCCAACATACTGTTGATATTGCTGTGAAAAGTCTTTGAAAGATCCATCGCATAACTGCCGTCAAATAAACGGGGTTCGCTTTGTTTAGGTATGACTGTTTTAAGAATATTTGTTGCATCCTGATCTTCCACTGATCCTCCAGCCAAACGTATGCTCTGGCTTATACTCGCTTCGCCTGTTCCAAGTCTTGTAATATAATCTATAATATTTTTCTGAGATCCTGATTGTGAATCTAATCGTGTCGAAAGATCATTATGCATCCAATTAAATTTTGTCTTCTAAAATTGACATGCACCGTTGCATTAAATAATTCACAGGATCGTTATATTCTTGAGCAACGATGAGCACGCGCCTGTAGAGAAACGTGTTTTAAAAGTACATTATATCATATTAATCGTTGCATTAATCTGAACTTACTCCCTGTAGTCTGTAAATATTTCATGCGGAAACAGACTAATTTGCCAAAGTGGGTGAGTAGGACAGTTGTCAATCTTAAAAATCGCATCTTGTACAGTAGTCGCTCGATTTAAGGGTGACCAAAAATTTCGGAAATCTCACCCTTAAATAGAAAATACCCTTAAATCGAAAAGCGTGACTATTTTAAACAGAAGTCACTACGCCATTTTTAACCATGAAATATGATCATTACTGCGAAATATTTATTTTTATTCGGACATTCAATATATTTGATCAAAAAGTTAGAAAAAAGTCAAAAATACACTGTCAAATCGTTCGATTTAAGGGTATGGGGAATTGGAATCTCACCCTTAAATAGAATAGTGGTTTAGTGGTGTTACTGCTGGGGACGGAAGATGTTTTTACAAAATCCACCCTTAAATAGAAAATACCCTTAAATCGAACACCCTTAAATCGAGCGACTACTGTATGAATGTTCATCTTAACATAAACGTAGGTACAAAAAATACTTTTGCTGCAACTGTTATTTCCATTACATCGTCGTTGTTAAGGTTTGCTTGCTTTATTGTCAATCTATCGTGCGTTGCGTTAAGATCTGGAAAAATCCTTTTGCGAAGTGATTCAGTTGGACAAACAATAGCTGCTGGTAATAAAATTTTCCTGATTTTAAAATGGTTAGTATTTAGAGAAATAAAGATATGTTTTTAACAAACCTTGTTGAACAGAGATTTATTTCACCGTCCTCATTACTCCTCTTGGTAATCCAGTCAAATAAGTACCGTTAATAGTTGTGTTTTTCCATCAACTAAAGCACCAGATTAGATCTTCATTTAATCCAGCTAAGTTGGCTATTCTTGCTAAAGATCCACGAAGAAACTGTTGCTTGTTCGACACAATATCAGCTCCTTCATATGTGAAACGGAAAACATATTTCGTAATAGTTCCTGGATTGCTCGACTAGCTGCCGGCGATTCTAGTTTATCATAAATTGGTTTTGATAATTAGATCACGATCCTGCTATTGATTGAATAAATTTTAATACACTAGAAGTGCGGAATAAGGGTCGAATGGCAACTTGTATATAACAATATGCAAGGTTTTGAGCGAAAGAGATTTGAAAATCTAATTTCAACATTTTCCAGTTTGCGATGAAATAGCCCATTCGATCTGCGAAGGAAAAATCTTGAAGTATTAATTGAATATAAAATCGATCCTTATTTTTATCATGACAAAGTATCTATCTTATAATGTCGGATTATTGAGTCTCAGTTCATTACTTGCTCTATTATGAACATGATTTTCTACCTTTTTATTTTGAACTATTCCACAAACAATTTGGGTTCATTCAGCAGCTCAAATTGTTTATGAGTAGACAGATAACGAATATTTTGTATCATTTGGACAAGCCCCAAATTAAACTTGTTTAGTTATATTCCCTTGCGTAATACATTGAAAGCTTT